CCGTCGCGTCATTCGTTCGCGTCTTTCGTCCGTCGGTCGACCGCTGGATCGCGAGGTGTCGTCAGGAAGATCCCTTGGAGCAGCAGCTGTCAGCGGAGTGTGACGTTCCTGCCCCAGCTAATGTGTACTTAGGCCTGACGATGTTTGCGGATGACCTCTTAGAGAATCTTATATTGGGACCTCGCTTCTCGCTCGACATGGCCAGGAACACTTTAAAACGCAACGATCTTTGGCTTGAAGAGGAGCTTTCGCAGATAGGACTCAAGCGAAATCCGAGGAATCAGGAGGTTTTTTTTTCTGTCCCGCCCTTGGCCAAGCGAAAAGTCGCACACCTCCTGAGGAGCGAGCAGTGCAGTTGTGGCGACTCGGTCAGATATCTCGGTCCTCGTCTTACCTCCACGCAATCCTTCCAGGACGAGCTTGGAAAGCGGATACAGGATGCTAAAACGGCTTATTTTCGCGTGGGGCGTTTTTGGCAGGCACCCAACATTCCTTATCGCTGGAAGAGGTGTGTGTGTGTGTTCCTCTGTCATGTTGTGAATTCTGCTCTGTCTGCTGTTGAATATGTTTTGCCCAGCGAGGGCCAGCTGCGTAAGTTAGAACTCGCAGTTGCAGGCTTGTGTAGACGTGCCATGAGAGGAAAGGCTAGCTGGGCAGATGCGCACCATGTTCGCCGTTTGTCTTCCCAGCAGGTGCTCGATTATTGGAAGATCATTCCTCTCGGGGTCGAACTTAGAGCGCGCAGGCTTAAGTGGTTTCAAAGCATTTGTGCGTATCCAGACTCCCACCGGCAGCTCATTGGAGCGTGGTTTGGCAAGTTTTTGTGCGAGGCTGTTTTTGGCGAGTTTTGTTCGATTCGCCCCGATGCGAATCCGTGGGCTTTGAGAGTCCAGGCGGACATTGGGGAGCTGGTGCTAGTTTCCGAGGAAGCCGCGGATCTTTGGCAAGAAGTCAGAGGCCGAGTACAAAACTTGTTCCAACATGAGTTTGCCTTTCGATTCGAACGTATTGATGTAACTAGCCTTCGCAGTGCTGCGCTTCGTGTGAACACTCCGAGTGTGCCGCCTGAGGGGCCTCCAGAGGCCGCGGAATCCAGCGCCCTTTTAATTGAGCGATTGCATGTGTGCCCTTGGGAGGACCCATCAGGCCCATGCGATGCCACTTTTTGTTGTCGATCAGGCCTTGCAAACCATGTCCACATTTTACATAGCAGCGTCAAGCTCTCGCATGCCATAAATATCACTCACCAATGCGCGATGTGCGAGCAGGTCTTCGGCGAATGGCTCACCGCGTGCAAACATGTGGAAGGGGCCCTTCAGCATGGACGACGTCTACGAAACAGAGCATCAACCCTCACGGAGCTCCAGGTCCCAGAGAGTATCCAGTGCAGAATTTGCGGCTCAACGTTCCAGCGGCCCCTCGACTACAACACTCACGTGAAGTCCAATCCTCCTCATGTCTTTGGTGGCGCTGGATGTCAGCGTGTTCGGGGGGGACGAGCTCCCGCCGCGGGCGGGCGTCGTGGTCGCGCCGAAGCGCCCCGCCGAGGTGAGCGCCGCCAGTCAGGGGTCCCAGCCGAAGCAGGCCAAAGGCAGCGGCAAGGGCGGCGGCGACGTCGACAAGACCTTGTTGCAGAAGGTCGCAGCTCCTTCGTTGGCCACGGCTCGCGAGCAGGCCATCCTCTCGTCCGTCGCGCTGTTGATTTTCCTCGCGCCGAGCGAACCGCACCTGGCGAAGGCGGGGCGGGCGGCAAACAAATTCTACTCAGAGAGGGTCAAGGCACTTCACGACCGCAAAGAAAAGGGGGAGGAGGTCGACTTGTCTGCACCTGGCCCACCGTCCGTCCTTGTGTTCCGCATCACCGCGCGCGCGATGATGACCCAGGGCTCGGACCAGGTGAAAGAGGCAGCGACCGTCTTCTTTCAGAAGCGCCTGAGGGACAAGACGCCCCAGTACATGGCCCCCCCGGCGCGCCAGTTCACGGCGAGGTCCCCGCGGGGCCCAGGCAGCAAGAGGACGCAGGGCAACGTGGAACTGGCGCTCGCCATCGGACCGAACCCAGAGGCACAGGTCGTGAGCACGCTGATGGACGCGGTGCTCGCGGACTGCAAGGCGGCCCAGCTTGTGGGGGCAGCGCCGCGCGGACCCCTGACGTCGAGGTCGCCGCCGAGTGCTCCGGGAAATGACCGCCAACGATTCCACATGTTTTGCTCCCTCCCCCTTTCTGTTCGTCAGCTTCGTCATGCTATTCGCTCTGCCAAAGACTCTGCCACAGGCATCGATGGGGTGCCATATGCTGCTTGGGGGGTCGACCGGTTTGGCGAGACTGTGCTCTGGAACGCTCTGCAGTGGTTTGGTTAGGGCCAGGCTCTCTTCGATTCCGCCAGTATCACGCTGCGGGTGTTTCTCCCGAGTGCGTTATCTGAGACAGAGTTGCGTGATGGGGGCTGCGCTCGTTCCCCAGACAGAGTCAGGGTTTTGGGGCTGCGAACCACTGATGTAAAGTTCTTGCCTGGGGTTAGGAACAGAGCGTTGCATCCTGTTCTCGAGCGCGTGGTCCCACAGAGCCAACGAGGTTGCGTGCCGCGCAAACATTATGTGATGACCATCGTCGAGATCGACGGCGTTGCCCGCGAGCTCTCTGTCGTCCCCCATCGGTCCCTGGACTTGTCGCTCATGTTCTCTCTGGACTTCGGCCATGTTGCATGTATTTGGACCACGACCAGGCAGAAAGAGAGAACGCACCCATCTGCACTCTGAACGCGTGCGCGAGCAAGGGCAGCTCCAACTTCAACATCGCAGCGGGCAGCGGTCGAAACTGTGCCACGTAAGAGAGAGTAGGGGCAGCACGTGAGTTGCATAGAACGGCCGGGATGCTGGTCGGGGTGGCTCCGCGCCCGATGGCTTGAGCCCGCAGACGCAATTTAGCTACAGGATTTGTCCAGCACTTCATCACACCAGCCGCAGGGCCAAGCCACAATCCTAGATGCAGTAGCATGTCGGTGACCTCGAATGCCGCCCACCCAGGGACGAGGTTACGAATCGCCTCGGAGACGGCCGCGGATAGCTCGGCCGAGAAAGGACCAGACGACGGCACCACACGGCACTTCGCCACCTCGAGGCACAGGTTCGCCATCTTCTCGACAATCATCATGATACGGTAGATCTCGCACAGGTCGGACACGGCACGCACGACACCACCAAAATCATCGGCGCAGGCCCTCACGGGGCCACGGTCCTGCAGCTCAGCCGAGGCCGCGATGTCGTACAAGAGCGAGGAGGTCCCGAGAGCGAACATGGAGCCTGATGGAGTACCCTCTTGTATGATCCCACTACGAACCCAGAACAACGGCTTGGGGACCCCATGCACGGAGGCGAGGCCCTCGATGGCGGCACGCAGGAAGCCCACGAACGCGAGAAACAACTGGGGATGCCCTCGGATCACGCGCTGCGGCTTCATGGGCATCGCCTCGCTGGCCCGAGCTGCCTTGCTGACCTTCCCTGGGTGCAAAGATGTGCTGGCCAGAATGAAGATGCATGTGGGGCGTCACGACGAGTGGCGCACTCTTTGTACGTTGCGCAGTGGTCGCCCGTACCAATCTTCTGGCGGGCCGAGTCGTTCGCGGAGACGCGCGAGGCGGTGGAGTTGGGGCTGGCTTCTGGCCCGCTCGCGCCGTTGGCGCCGGCGGCCGCGGCCGCGGCGCGGGAGGCGCTGCGGCCTCCTCCTGGCCTTCGCCCACGGCCGCAGCGTGCTGCTCACAATGCTCTCCGTGCTCTGCCGTCTTGCGATGCCCCGCTGTTCGAGAATGTGACTTCCCGCCTCGCCAAGCTGCTCCCCCGTCACTCCGACATGATTCGGTTGCTGGGCTGTGGCCTCATTATCAGTCTTTTGAGGAGATGCCCGTGCGCGTGGGCGTGGGCGGCGATGCGCACTTGGATGGATGCGTGGATGGCGTCGGCCAGGACTCTTCACCTCTCGGTCATCGCAGGTGTGCTGACGGCTGTGATGCTGGAGACCCCCTTGCTCATTACGCCAGATGTCGACCGATGTTGGCTGCCCTCCGCCGTGCCGTTGCTCGTCCATTCCCCGCTCCTGTTCTTCGACGTTTGGGGCTGTGGTGCCCGCGGATTGAGGACTTTGCGTTTCTCGCTGCCGCCTGCGCCATCTACAATCAAATCAGACTGTTTGAGCAGTGGCCGTTGTCTCAGGCCGCCTCTGATTCGCGTGCGCTCGCTGGAGTACGCTCCATGATGATGGCGCGCCCGCGCGCCCCCACTGATGCCGAAGCTCGGCGGTTTCGGAGACGGGATTGGCATGGCGATGATCGTGGTTGCTCCTCCTTTTTCCGTTCTTCTTCGCCCTCTGCCTCGTCGAGTTCGTCGTGCTCGCGCTCGTCCTCGGGCGCTCCAAGGTTGACCCCTGCGGTCTCGTCCGTTGGCTCTTCCACGTGCCCGACTGAGATTGCCTTGCAGGCGAGTGGTGATGGATGGGACGTCGTGGGCGAGCTCCCCGTGCTGCCTGACCCCCCGCCGTGCGACCCGAGCGAGGATGCCGACTGGATCTTCCCCGACCCCAGCTCGGATGTCTCGGCCTCCATCAAGTTCCCGCGCGGATGGGAGTCTCATCGATCAAGTTGCTGATGAGTTTGCTCTGTCTCTGCACGCTCCTGGCGGGACAAGTCGGCCTGAGGCTCCAACCTGATCTACGGAGCCGCATGGTCGAGACGTCATGGCAAGTCCCCCTCTTGCCGCGAGGCTGCCGACGGTGGCTGTTTGCATGTCAAGGGCGCATGACGTCTCCGCCGATTGCGTGCCGTGGGTCGGCGGCGCCCTCTCCTTCGATGACGCTGTCCCCTGCGGCTTCTGTGCCCGCGAGATCTCGGCGTGCGGCCCTCTCCCCGTCGGTGACTCCATCTACGATCAGGGTTGCTGGTGGGGCGCCCCCAGCTTCCCCCTTCGCTCCTGTCTGCCCCGTCCCTCCTCTCCTCGTCCGCTCGTGTTCCCTGCCCTCTGTCTTGCTCCTCCCCGTTCGCCCCTCGCTCTCGCCCCAGTTGTTTCGTGCGAGGCAGGCCTCTGACCGGATGCTCAATCCTGCCTCCTGTCCTTCGCTATTGTGGATCTGTCGCCTCCGCGCCCCCCTTCTCGTCCGTCGCTCCCGAGCGCTGATTTTGCCGCTGCTGCTCCTCCCTCGCTTCTCCTCCGCGCCTCGATGCCCAGCTGCTCGAGCCTCTCCGTTGCCGCTGTGCCGGTGCACGCCGCTGCCCCGCGTTTCGCGCCGTCGCTCCGCCATCCTGGTCCCCAGGGTGTCGCTAGCCTGGCCGCGCACGTCGAGGCGCGGGTCCTCCCCCCTCCTCCTCCGTCGCTCCTGGGCCCTCGCCTTTGCTTCTGCGCTGCCTCCCCCCTCTGCCCCTCGCCCCGCCTGGATTTTGGCATGGCGGATTCGGACGTCGGCTCCGCGCTGCACGAGTCGGCGCTCTCAGGGGTGCCGCCGCGCCGTGCCAGCGGATAGGCGGGGCGTGGGGACTCCTCCCTTACGCTCGGTGCTTCCTCGCTCGGTCCTCCTCGCTCCTCCTCGCTCCTCGCTCCTCCTCGCTCCGCCTCCAGGAGTCGGCCCCTGACCCCTCCCGGAGCTCTCTGTCCTGCCCCGGGGCTCCGAGGCGGCTCCCCCGCCGTGGCGACGGGGGCCCCTGCGCGAGGGGGCCCCCGAGCAAGCGAGAGTCCTCGGAGACCTCGGCAGGGGGGTCCGGGGCCTTCCCCGAGGGAGCCCCTGGGCGAGGAGGCCCCTGAAAGCAAGCGATCGGAGGTCGACAGACCTCCTACCCTGACAAATCGATGGGCGAATTGGCCGTCTTCGGTTCGCGAGAGGGCGTCGCAGCTGTCATTTCTGCGGATCCAAGTCCGTCGGTTTCGGTCCTGGGCCGTTTTCACTCAAGGGTGGTTTACTAAAGGGAGGTTTGTCCACCGTCGAAGCGAGGAGCCCTCGGAGACCTCGGGAGGGGGTCCCCGTCCTTCTCGTGGGGAGCATTCTTCGGGCGTCGAGTGCAGTTGGGGCGCGCATCGAGAGACCGCGTGCTTTTCGCCATGGTATCCTAAGTTTCTTTGCTCCGTGCGCTGCGCGGTGAGAAGCTGCTGCGTTCAGGGTGCTCCGGATTTCCCTTCGGATGCACATCGCGCGCGGTTTTTTTGGGTTAGGTTTCTTGCGACGGTTTCTTGCGGCCTCGCCCGCACTGTAATGGGGGTGCGATAATTATGGGACGGGGTGAGCCCCTGGGCGAGGAGGCTCCAAAACAAGCGAGAGCCTTCGGAGACCTCGGGAGGGGGTCCCCAGCCTTTTCGTGGGTTGCATTCTTCGGGCGTCGAGTACTTCATCGAGCGCGTTCCACTACACTCGCAAAGTGCCTATTCGCAAACGTTCGAAAATCACATGTTCGCCTCGATATAATGGATCGTGCCCCCCCCCCGCGGCGGATACAGGCTATTTGCCAGTAGTTACTGTGCGACTAGTGGGAAGCGCTTGTCAGGTTTTGGGGGTGCGATAAATCTGGAGGGGAGCCCCTGAACGAGGAGGCTCCAAAACAAGCCAGAGCCCTCGGAAACCTCAGTAGGGGCCCCCTGGCCTTCTCCTAGGGAGCATTCTTCGGGCGTCGAAACATGGGGTTGCGAGGTATAAGATCGAGGTCGGCTCGGGGAGGGTACCCTGATACTCTCCGTGTTTGTTGGATGTTCTAGTGCACCCAGGGGGAGGACACCCTCGAATGCTCTTCAGGTTGGCCGGGCGGATGGTCTCATGCTTTCGAAGGTTGTTCCTCCGTCTTAGGTCCGAGAGTAATGGGTGTGTGCGATCAGTGGGGGGGTGATGAAAGGAGCACCTCTCGTGCCCTAGAGGGCCCCCCCCTGAGGGCCCCAAAGGGGCAAGAAAGGTGCACGTGTCTTCCCCCTCCCCCCCCAACCCGCTTATCGACCCCCATGATTGAGATCCCGAGTTCTGGCACGTTTTGGCCAGAATTCCAATTCAGATCCAACCGTGACAACTAGATGCCACCCCAGAATCCCCCGCACTGCAAACATTAGATCCTCCCTTACACCCTTCTTCTCATCCGACCTACTATATACAGGGCGGTAACACCAGGGAAATAGGCCCACCCACACGCTTAATGCGTCCCCTGAGTCGTATCACGTCAAGTCCTCCTCCTTCCGCTCCTCCTCCTCCTCCTCCTCCTCCTCCTCCTCCTCCTCCTCCTCCTCCTCCTCCTCCTCCCCCGCCGCCTCCTCCCTCCTGACAAACAACCAATCAAAGCACTCCCTGGATCCCCCCAGGTCCGCCCTGGCGAGTTTTGCTTCCCAGATCGACTTCTGACGGGCACCGGGGCCTGAACCCGGCCCCCAAAGGCCGAGATCGAGAGAGAGCATCCCCAATGCAAGAATCGAGTCCAAATCTCAGCCTCCCGCAGAATGGCCAAAAAGCTGTTCCCCTGACTCCGCCCCCCGCCTCTCCACCCAGATTCGAAGTTGGCCGTAGGCGAAGTGCAGCACAGGCGCGAGAGGACACACAAAATGGGCCCCCAGGGTCGCGCAGGTCTGAAGGCTAGGTCACCCGCGGGGGCGCGAAGACAATCGCGTCTCGTGCGTCGCGGTCTGGGCCAGAGCGGTTGCCCTTCTCTAAGGGGGCGGCGCGAGGGCGCGAAGTCGATCGTGCGTCGCGCATCGCTCGGCGCTCAGCGCAAAGTCAGGTGACCAGAGAACGTGGGAAATTTTCTGGACATGAATCATCCTCCCTCCCCCTCCCTCCCAGAGAGGTGCCCCTCTCCCGCTTCGCGATCAACCTGGGCGCAGCCGACGGCGCGTGTGGCGCGGGCGCGGAGGACTGGAACGCCGATCCAGCGAACTGCCTCGTGGAAGAGGCCCCCCTTGGACGAGAGGGGGGAAGGGAGGGGAGGGAGGGGGGGAGGACATTGGCGGACTGCACAGCGCAGAGGGTAGCTGGCCGCTGCATTCAGGATGGGCCGCAACGATCGCCCTTCCTGCAGTGGTGCCTCGCGGGGGGGGGTCAACCAAACCGCGAACAGCCGGCGCTCACCAGAACGGCCCTGGCGCTCCGTGGAACCCCTCCGACGCGACGCTCACCAGAGCAGGGGGAGCGCTCACCAGAACAGGGGGCGAACGGCGGGAGGGGAACACGCAGCCCGCGCTCTCGAGAACAGGGCAGGGGTGCAGGGTGAGGGGTGAGAGGCTGGAGGAGGAGGAAGAGGAGGATGATGATGATGAGGAGGAGGAGGAGGAGGAGGATGAGGAGGAGGAGGAGGAGGACGTCGGATCCGAGAAGGAGCTGGACATGCTTGGGGCTCGAGGAGGAAGAGGTACCGATGCTGCCGCCCTTCCCTCGCTTTCGCCTTTTTGGGCCTCCTGGGACGGGCGGGCGGGCTGGCGGGCGGGCGGGCGGGCGGGCGGGTGGGCGGCGGCGGCGGCGGCGTGGTCGTCGTCGTCGTCGCCGTCGTCATCGTCGTCGTCGTCGTCGTCGTTCTCGCTCGTGTCGTCGTCGTCGTCGGCGTCGTCGTCGACTTCGTCCGCGTTGGAGCCACGTGCCGAATGGATTTTGGTGTTCGCCTCCGCGGCGTTACCGCGCTCTATGTTCCCGCCACGTGGCGCTGCCATGTGGCGAATAGAATGGAACATGTTTCGCCCCCTATGCGTTGCCACGTGGCGAGTCGACTGGGATTGTGTATGTTCGGCCCGCGCGGCGTTGCCACGTGATGAGTTGAGTGGATTTGGACTTCTTGTTCGCTCCCCATGTCGTTGCCACGTGGCGAGTGGAATGGGATTGTATTTTTGTTTACCTCCTAGACCTTGCCACGTGCCGTTGCCGTTGGCGAGTAGAGAGGAGTAACTTTTGTTGCCGCCCCGTTTCGTTGCCACGTGCTGAGTAGAGTGGAGTAATTTTGGTTCGCCCTGCAGGCGCTGCTATTTGGTGAGTACAGTGGAGTGGTATGTGTTACCTCCTCCGGGCGTTGCCACGTGGCAATGAGAGTGGATCGGTATTTGTTTCGCTCCCACGGTGTTTCCACGTGGCGAGTCGTGCAGTGGAGTAGTTTGTGTGTTTCGCTCCCCAGTCGCTCCCATCTGGCAATTCGCGTGGAATCGTGTTGTTGTCCGTCCCGCAGGCGCTTCCACGTCGCGAGGAGAGTGGAGTAGTACATTTCTCGCCCCCCAGGCGTTTGCCACGCGGTTGGAATATCTGCTCAATATGGGTTTGGGGGAGGGCTCGGATTGGGGATGAAGTTGTCGTCGTCGTCGTCGTCGTCGTCGTCGTCGTCGTCGTCGTCGTCGTCGTCGTCGTCGTCGTTGGGGTCTCCTACCCCTCCTCCTCCTCCTCCTTCTCCTCCTCATCTCCCTCGTCCCCGCCTCTACCCCCTCCTCGCTGTTCTCGCCCTCTTTGAGGTCGGGGGCTGTTTCAGCAAACGTGCGGGGCCGACCTCTGGTGAGGGCGAAACGCTGTTCAGGTGAGAAAGGAACGGCTGTTTTGGTTTTGGCGGGGCTGTTCTGGTCTGGGTTCGCGGCACGGTCCGCTCCGTGTTCTCGGGACGCTCGCGGCTGCTCCGCATTGTTTTCACCCGTTCGGGGGCCCTGTCGGAGCGCGCCAGGAGCTTGAGCGACTGCGATGGAGGGTCCCATTCCTCCGACGTCGTAGTTGTCTCACCATGTGGGGCGTTCCAACATGCCTTTGAATACAGCTGCAAACGTGCGCATCATGTATTCCCAAAGCGGAGGCACACAGGATCTTTACGTGAACGGTGTCCTCACCGAGATTTTTACGCACGACGGCGCCCAGTCGATCAAGCTCACGGCCGGAAGAATCGGACGCTGGAACACCGGAAGGGTCTTGCGGGGAGCGATTGCGGGCTTCGAAGTCACCTCGCCGACACCCGCCCCGACACCCGCCCCGACGCCCGCACCAACGCCCGTACCAACGCCCGCACCAACGCCCGCACCGGCGGCGTACAATCCTGTCGCATTCGTGAGTCATGGGGATATGAGCCTCGATGGGATTACAGCGCAGTGTGCTACACTTGGCTCTGGTTGGCGCCCAGTCTCGCTTCAGAGTGTTGCCCACGTGGAGTGGTTGGTGGGGCAGGCTTCAGACATGTGTGTGTGGACCTGACTCTGAGCAGCGGTGTTTCTCTTGGCTATAACCCTCATAACACGGGCACCGCGTAGGATGACTTGGGCGATTAATCCAGAGATGTGATTCCTATCTTTGCTGAGTTGCGTGCAGCTGGATGGCCAGGAGATTATTACACTGACCAGAGTTCCGACTGGAGGAACCAGGCAACCCTTCGCAGGCTTTGGTTGTCGAGCTTTGCCGACGACAGGAATCGAGGACTGGTTCCTGCCACTCATTCAAGGAGATTCTGCGTGAGGAAGTAACAGCGACGCAGGCCCCGATGGCAGGTGGTGCGTTTACTACTGGTGATCCACATCTGGCAAGCGTACATGGCGAAAGGTTCGACCTGATGCTGACAGGCAAGCACCTTCTCATACATATTCCGCGGAAATACGGAGAGACCACTCCTGCTTCGCGTAGACGCAGTGGTTGAACGAGGTGGTGGACAATGTGCAGATCTGTATCGAAGACGCCTACGCCTAGGGCGACCCTGCGAGCTGTGACAACTACCGGCCCCTTTCCCTGCAGCGTGTTGCGCTGAAGGCGTTTTCCGCGATGCTGAAGAACCGTTTGCTCGATGCAGGCGTGGATGAACGCATCTGGCACAGTCAGTTTGGCTTCCGGAAAGGGCGCGGCACGGAGCACGCCATCTACGTTGCACGCCGCCGGATCGAGTTGGCGCGAGCACGCAAACACGGGGCGGTGACGCTGGCCGCTCTCGATTGGAAGAAGGCCTTTGACAGCATACGCACAGAGAGCATGCTGGACGCACTCCGCCGGATGGGCCTCCCGCCAGAATTTACGAGCATGGTGGAGTCACTCATGACGCAACGGATGTTTTTTGTCAGCGACAACGGTAGTCAATCGGCTGAACGCCCGCAAGTATCTGGCATCTCTCAAGGCTGCACGCTGAGCCCTCTGCTATTCGTTCTGGTGATGACAGCCCTACTGCACGACGCAGTGGCGCTGCTCCCTGAAGGAGCCCGCCGGGCGTACGACGCGGGCGAGCTGTCAGATTGCGTCTACGCTGACGACACTCTGTTAATTGGCGAGAACGACTCGCACGTGAACGACTTCTTGGCAGCAGTTGCGGCTGCAGGCAAGAGGTACGGCATGGAACTGCACTGGCAGAAGTTCCAGGTCTTGACTGTGCAGTCGGCTGGCGACATCCGCGCCCCTGATGGCTCTCAGTTGAAGCACGTGGAGCACTTGCACTATCTGGGCGCGCAGCTCGCGGCTGACGCGAACATGGGCCACGAGCTGGGCATGAAAATCGGGGAAGCCCGACGAACGTTCACAGCTCTGCGCATGGTGTGGTCCCATTCATCGTTGACTTGGAGCCGGAAGCTCCGCATTTACGCTTCCATCGTCGAATCGAAGCTGCTCTACGGGCTCAGCAGCGCGTGCTTCACGAAAGCGCAGGTGCGTCGTATCGATGGATTTCAGAACAGATGCGTGCGTATGATCATCGGGGTGAAGCCGTCATATATTTCACGCACATCCAACCGGGACGTCTTAACGAGAACAGGACATGAGGCGGCCAGCACGCAGTTATTGTTCAGACGTACAACTTTTCCGCCAAGTGCCGCGCGCCGATCCTGCTCATCCACTCTACGCCTGTTCTTTCGCCGCCGGCATGAGGCCGGCCACGGATAGATACGTGAGGCGAGTGGGCCGCCCGCACAAGGAGTTCGTGCCCGAAATGACCAAGCACGCAACGTGCATCTTCGGCAACATGACAGTAGCGGCGCAGACAGCCTGCACCAGGGCGCTGTGGGAGCGCCGATGTTTCCTTGCCCTTGTGTCTTGTGTGCTCCCCCCTCGTCCCCTCGCTTGGTTTCCCTCCCCTTCCCCGTCTCCTCGTCTGTCCGTCCGTCGGCCCGGTCTGTCCTTCCCTGTCGTCCTCCCTCGCCCCCTCCCCTTGCCCCTCTCGCTCCTCGGCTCCTCGCTTTCCCGTCGGCCCCGGTTTCTTGCCTTGCCCGCGTTTCTTTGTCGGCCTGTCCTGTTGACCGAGTAAGAGTGCGCTGTATTTTTCCACCTGTGCTCGCGCCCACGCACCGCCTGGTGCATGGTTTGTCTGTCTGTCTGTCTGTCACTGCCCCTGTGGAAGCGCCTATGTGGCCGACAGCTGGGCTACAGCTTGGCCAAGCTACCGGGCCAGTTGTTCCCCGAGTCGGTTTGCAGAGCATTCGGGGAACGCGCGGGGGAGCAAGAGGTTTGAAAGCACCCATGTGTCCGAGCGTTGCGGCAAGAGCTCTGCCAAGCTATCGGACCATGTGCTCCCCCAACCTGTGTGGAAACCCTTCGGGGGACATTTGGGGGAGGACGGCGGTAAATATCAGGAGGAGGAGGAGGAGGAGGAGGAGGAGGAGGAGGATAAGGAGGAGGAGGAGGAGGAGCAGAATGAGGAGGAGCAGCAGAATGAGGAGGAGGAGGAGAAGCAGGAGGAGGAAGAGGAGGAGGAGGAGAAGGAGGAAGAGGAGGAGGAGGAGGAGGAGGAGGAGGCGATGGGGCCTCTCTGAGCCGATTGGAAGCCCTCTTGTGGTGCTCCAGGGCCGTCTTGGAGGCCATATTGGGCGTCTTGGATGCATCTTGGGCCGTCTTGTTGCCCTCCTGGGGCGGTCTTGGGGGCCTCTTTGGCTGTTCTGGGGCCGTCCTGGAAGCCTCTTGGGCGATCTTCCTGGGCTCTTGGGCCGTCTCGGGCCGTCGAACGGCAGAAAAGCAAATGCCCCAATCCTTCAA